GACTCTCTAGCTATCGCTCCATCCACTCGTCAGGGAATACAAATTGAGAGCACCTATCAAAATATGTAAAGTTACTAGAATTTAACATATTTCAAGGCTATTAGAATTTGGAGCAAGAAAATTATCAGCTGAGAACAAGACTAAAATAAATAATAAGAAATAAAAATAAATTAACAAAAGTTCTATCAACTTACTCATCAGAGTCAGATAAATCTATTGAATTATTACCAGATATTATTTTTATACCATTTTTATATCATCATTAATCACAGTCTCAAAATAACATTAGAAATTTGTATTATGCTGGATTCTGTTAAGAATGTGATGAATATATAAATATATGAGTATGTGTGTGTGACTGTGTGTATGCATATACATGTATATATTTAATTGATTGATTTTTTAATAGCTTATCAACCCTTTTATGGGTTATTTAAAGCCAATACATAGTTTGGATTGTAAGATTAATAGATTTCTTTTGCATTAACAATTTTTGGAAAATAAAAATGATTTTTGTTATTTTATGAAAGATTTTATATTTCTGATTTTCGACAAATATCAAACTTATTTTAAAATTTTAATTTTGACTATATTTATCACATATTACAAAAACTAAGTAAATATTGTTAAATAAAATTTATAGTAATATAAATATACTGGTTTGTTACTTTATTTAATATTTTATTTTGTTTTTTAATTTAGTTTAATTTACATTATTTTTTATATTTTATTTTATTTATTTATTAATTTTACTTTTATAATTTTGAATGTTAATTGTAAATTCAAATTTATTTTTTTCCACTTTGTCATAGATTTTTCTAAAATGATATTCAAATTGTTATATATTAAAACAATGTTAGGCATATTAATGACAAAGTGGAAAAAATTTTATGTAATGTGTTTTGTCCTTGAAAATTTCATTGAACTAACATAATGTTTTTTTGATGGAATTATATATGTGTTAGAAGGAGAGGGGGAATATAAAAATGCAGGCATTAGTTATAATTATATACAAACAGAAAATACTGAAAATATTGAAAGGCTGAAATTTTAAACTTTTAAATTTAAATTTTTTTTAGATGTGTCTGGGAATCTAGTTTAGTTAATTTCATTTAATTTCTTTATGCTTTTATTTTTAAGTATTTCACATTGTAATAATAGAAGGTGAAATGTTGTAATAATCTGGACATAAATCTACTGTGGATGACACAACAATTAAAGTACTTTCTATATACTTTCGCCTTTGTAAATTGCTTCTGTTTTTAATTAAAGCAGCATTTTTTAAATCAAAATTATGGCTGAACTAATTACAGTGAGCAACTAATGCTTTGGATGTATTGTTTTGTTAACACCTCTCTTTTGTGTTCATATAATCTTTTATTTAAATTCCTCAAAGTCTCTCCTATGTATTCTTTGTGGCAATCATTACAGGTAATAGAGTTCAAGTTTTAGCCTATTATTTTGTTTTTATTAAGTGTCTTATTGTTTTAGAACTATTTGTAACAAGTTTTATGTTAAGTTTAGATAAATTCTTTTCAATTGTAATTGCGATAAAGTGGGTAGGTGTTGGTTCCTAATGGTTATTTATTCTAAGATGAACAATTTTGGCACAAGGCCAAAAGAGAAGTGGGGAGTGGCTGGAACTAACTAATCAGATTCATGACTTGTTCATTCATTACGATTTGCTTATTCAACACAAGAACTAATCCATTACCATTCAATCTGCTATATACCGAAAAACCACATGGGGCACCTTGAAGCTGTGTAATGGTTAGCAAGTTTATCTCGCTAGAACAATTACAACTGAGTAGTGAGTCCTATCCTCACTGGGTGCCCCATACTTTCGGCCTTGTGCCACATCTAAGCTACATTTGGAAAATCACTACCACAATACCACACATTCACAGGTAACCTACAACAACACCCAGGACATAAAAATTTCATTATGTACAAATGTCTAAATGTCTCTTTTTCTTTCTTTTTTTCTTACAAAAAGTATATGATTATGAAATGAGGGAGGAGGATATGAACACAAAAATGAAACTTAAATATAACAAAACATTCAAACTAAAATAAAATATGTTAGTAGGATCTGTCCATCCCACAAAAAAAAGAGCAGCTGCTGTATTCTGCCTATAGGAAGAATCAAGAAGTTTGTTCACTAAAGGCATAGGACAAGCAAAATAATATACAGGGGTGGAGAAATATCTGATAGGGGTTGGTGAGGTGTTTTAGGTCATCTATAATAGTGAAGGAGTTTAATAGGGGGTTGGTATGCAAATGACACTCAGCTAAATTTTAGTGTACATGTATATTGTATTCTTCAGTGCAGATGAACGAAAGGCACTGAACTTGACCAACGACAGAATCAAAAGCCTTAGTTCCATCTATCCAAGTAACTTTTTACTTATTTTGATGAGACTTATTTAATGCTACATTGAGCATTGCTTGTTCTTTTTTATTTGTTCCAAGTTGGTTTTCAGATAACAATCTACAACCTCTTCACTGTAAACTAGAGTTTATGATTACAAAGGTCATTTAGCCTAAGTGGATGATTGCATCAAGGATGATGCAATATTAGTTTATTTAATTTAATTCGTACAATTGTACAGTTGGATATTAATAGTGGTTATACATTTCTGTTCAATGGCATCAGCTATATTTAGGCTTGGTGTATTAATATATTCATCAGGGTTATTTAATATATTTTCTTAAATATATTTTAGGAGAAATTCTGAACCTGATGATGATGGGGGGGGGAATTTTGGACCTGATATACATTTTTTAATTTTTCATACATTTTAGTTAACATTTTAATTGCCAACACCAATGCAAGTTTTAAGGTTCAAAGATATTTTAAATGGGGGTCGCTGGGGAAGGAAGAGAAACAAAAGGGGAGGTCTCTGGCCAAAAAGTTTGACAACCCCTGCTTTAATTTAATGAAGTCCTTTTAGAGGATGAAATTAGTTACACAGTATTTTTTCCACTTTGTCATTCATTTGCCTAAAATTATTCTTATATAGAGAAATTTATGTCATATTCTCCCAATGTCTAGTAAATAAATGTCATTTTCTGATCTATACTGGTTTCATCAACTGTTTTTATTTATATTCAGACTAATGTCCTCATCTTTGTTGTTATTATCACAATGCTTCAGCTATTGTGTCTTCCAGCCTTCTTCAGGTATTTGTCAATCCAGGTAACTTTCAGGACATTTCAAACAGTACTTGCTTGATTCATCGGGGTTATTTAATATATTTTCTTAAATATATTTTGGGGGATAAATTCTGAAACTGATGATGCTGGGTGGAAAATTTTGAAACTAATCCAAATTTCTTAACTTTTCATAGATTTTAGTTAACATTTTAATTGCCAACATCAGTGCAAGTTTTAAGGTTCAAAGATATTTTAAATGGAAGTTGTTGGGAAAGGAAAATAAACAAAATGGAGACTCTGGTTGAAAAAGTTTGATGACTGCTGATCTATATAAACAATGATGTTCTATTCTTGAAAGGTTTCTTTTTCCTTTTGCTTAGAGCTGAAAAAACATCTTGTCTCATCAGAATCAAAGTTAATAAATACAGTTGCTAATGTCTGCTTCATTGATCTATTACTAAAACCACAGCTTGTAAAATTTGCATTCTACTTTCAGCAAACAAATATATAGCTATTGAGTAATGATAAAGCTGATATTGGATCTGACTGATTTGTTAGACAAGTTAAAAGAAGAACATAGAAAAATACAAGCAACAAGAACACAATTCATATTGTTTGTCATATATAGAGATTGTCTGCTAAATGATAAAATTACTGCAACGTCTGATTACTGTCACGCTATGCATTGCAAATATTTCCATAAGCTTAGAATAGTATATGTCAAGAACAAAAGTATGGATCAACCAGTGAGGACTAAACAAACTACAATAGTAAGTGGTTAGCAGAATTAATAGTCCTAGTAGTAGACTTATAGTAGTAAGTGGTCAGCAGGCTTAATTTGCTAAATACACCTCCACTGTGCAGTATAATGCCTTATTGATTATTACATAAACTGATATAGTTATATAGAAACTACCAGGGGCACTTTGGTGTGATATAATGGTCAACAAGCTGGTCTTGCAAAATCAATTATGACTTAGTAGTAAGTTTGATCCCCGCTGGATGCCCCATACATTTGACCTTATGCCACATCTAAGCTATGCTTAAAAAATCACCAAAGGTCACTTCGACTAGATCAATTATGACTGCATAGTCAGTTTGATCCTCACTAGGTGCCTCATTCTTTCAGCTTTGTGCCACATCTAAGCTATGCTTAAAAATCACCAAAGGGCACTTTGACATGGTTTAACAGTCAGTAATCTTGTCTTACTAGATAAATTATGACTGCATAGTGTGTTTGATTCTCACTAGGTGCCTCATTCTGTCAGCCTTGTGCCACATCTAAGCTCCTCTTATAAAATTGCCAAAATGCATTTCAAGTTGGTGTAATGGTTAGCAATTTTGTCTCATTAGATCAATTATGACTGCATATTGAGTTTGATCCTCACTAGGTACCTCATTCTTTCAGTCTTGTGCCACATCTAAGCTATGCTTAAAAAATCACCAAAGGGCACCTCGACTTGGTGTAACAGTCTGTAATGTTGTCTTACTAGATCAATTATGACTGCATAGTGAGTTTGATTCTCACTAGGTGCCTCGTTTTGTAAGCCCTGTGCCACATCTATGCTTTTACTTAGTAAAACTTTATATAAAAGCTGCTAGTAATCCAACCCAGTCAAACTCAAAATGAATACATAACTTTTGTCTTCTCTGACCAACAATTACCTGCTCAAGTTTAGATGTATTTTATTTTGAGTATTATCTTTATCTTTGTTGTTTTTAGCACATTGTTATACACATACATTCTCTTGTACACCCTGTTTCTGGAAATTAAAAGCTTTCATTATTTTATTTTAACTTGAACTTTCATTTTCCATTTTATTATTGAGAACCTTTCACTCAATATGTTTTTTAGTGTAAGTGTTCCAATGTAAAAGATTTTCATTATTACATTATTATTTATCAGATAATTGTCATCATCATTTTCGCTATGAACATTATAGGAGTTGCTATATTCATTAACATTGTCGTATTTTATGAAATTTTTAGAAGAAATAAATTCATTATTATTAAGGATATATATCTTGTGGAGTAACAAAGGTTTAACAAGTTCTCCATTGCTTTTTGAAGCTTCCATTTCAAAGGGTGATGTTTCTTTCCATCAAAGGAGCGATTACAATAAAAAATACTTGAGGTAGCATTAAAATCCCCACTAATGCACAATCTACTTAATCTTGTGTAGAATTTCTCTTTTGTCAGTTACAGCATAAGCTGATATACAGAACAATGTCAGCAGGCATCAATCTATCTATCTATCTATCTATCTATCTATCTATCTATCTATCTATCTATCAGCTCACATCTACCTATCTCAGTGTGTTCATATTTATTTATCTCAGTCTGTTTATATCTATCTATCTATCTAGCTATCATCTCAGTTTGTTCATATCTATCTATCTATCTATCTATCTATCTATCTATCTATCTATCTATCTATCTATCTATCTATCTATCTCAGTCTGTTCATATCTATCTACCTATCTATCTATCTATCAGATCATATATATCTATTTCAGTCTGTTCAAATCTAGCTAGCTAGCTATCTATTTAGCAACTCATATCTAGCTACCTCGGTCTGTACATATCTATTTATCTCAATCTGTTTATATCTATCTATCTATCTATCTATCTATCATCTTAGTTTGTTCATATCTATCTATCTATCTATCTATCTATCTATCTATCTATCTATCTATCTCAGTCTGTTCACATCTATCTAGCTATCTATCTATCTCAGTCTGTTCATATCTTTCTATCTATCTATCTCAGTCTGTTCATATCTATCTAGCTATCTATCTATCAGCTCATGTCTACCTATCTCGGTGTGTTCATATCTATTTATCTCAGTCTGTTTATATCTATCTATCTATCTATCTATCTATCTATCTCAGTCTGTTTATATCTATCTATCTAAGAGCTCATATCTATCTATCTATCTCTCTATCTATCAGCTCATATCTAGCTATCTAGCTATCTATCATCTCAGTTTGTTCATATCTATCTATCTATCTATCTATCTATCTATCTATCTATCTATCTATCATGGTCTGTTTATATCTATCTATCTATCTATCTATCTATCTATCTATCTATCTATCTATCATGGTCTGTTTATATCTATCTATCTATCTATCTATCTATTATCTCAATTTGTTCATATCTATCTATGTATCTATCTACCATGGTCTGTTCATATCTATCTATCTATCTATCTATCTATCTATCTATCTATCTATATATATATCACTAAAAAGGATACAAAACTATCTCTCTCTTTCTCTCTCCATATATATATATATATATATATATATATATATATAGTCAACTGCAGAGAGACTTTCGCTGTGTCACATCTCTTCAATGTGGTTGAAGGTTGAAGGAAGGTTTCCCCTGGGTGGGGGGTTAAGGTAGAAAAATTCTTTCCATCATAATCTCTTTACAAAGTCCATGATTTTCTCTGTGAGGGATATGTTGAATGAATATAGAGAGGAGTATGGAATGTTTCTTAGGGAGTACTCCAGACAGAACTTATTCATGATAGTCATTTGTAGAGGTCTTTGGAATTCCAGGTGGATTAATCCTGAGAGAGAGCGCTCAACTATTTACAAGAACAAATTACAAACAGGAAGAGCCAACAAATCAAAAAATATCTATAAATGTAATCCCTTACATTACCACAAAATCCTCACTGACAAAATAACAGAAACACATAAACTAGATAAATACAATAGTAGAGTGTCCAAAATAAATACAGATACCAACTGAAATAGTCAATAAGTTAAATATTGAAGATAGTGTGGGGAAAAATCTACACTAAGGACTAGGCCTTATCTCAAAAAATATAATTAAAAAAATAACCGACAATTTACTAATCACAACCAGTACTAACCTTTGGAAGGATTTGTCTGACACTATTAAATGATTTGCTAATATGAGGAATAAGGATAAAGTAACATTAAGTTTGATATAATTGACTTCTATTCCTCTATCCCTAGGGACGTCTTGGTCAATAGTATCAACTTTACAAAGAACTATGAAGAAATAATGGATGATGAAACTAATATCATCTTAACAGCAAAAAAGTAACTCAATGAATAATTCCACCTGGGCTAAGCGCCACAATGATGAATTCAATGTCCCCATGGGAACGTATGACTCAGCCCAAGTTACAGATCTAGTATGTTTTTACATTTTAGATGTGCTAAGTAGAATTGTAAAACCAGAACTAACAGGGTTCTATCGGGACAATGGAATCATCCTCATCCCTAATAATAATCGTCCACTAACAGTGAAATTACAAAAGAAAATTATCAGGGCCTTCAGATTCCTAGAGTTTAAGATGGAGATTTCCTTTAAACTGCAAATAGTTGACCACCCTTAACCTTAATGATAAAACCTTTAAACCCTACCATAATGCCCCAACTATATTAATATCAGTTCTAACCACCCCATTGCAATCCTAAGATAAATACCCGCTACCATTTGCACCAGGATTTGTAAACTATCATCCAATGAAAAAATCTTTAATATGAATAAAGAACTATACATAAAGGCCCTTTGAAAAAGTGGTTTCAAAATTAAACTGTCATATGCAACCCACCATTAGTGATACCAATACACAAAAAGTGGAATGTAGGTGTAAGAATAGGAAAAGAAAAATCACTTGGTTCAATACCCACCCCCCCAGTGCAAACTGTCAAGTATCAACATTGGATAGTACTTCCTAAATTTAATTACTAAACACTTCAACAAAAAAAACCCTCTAAATAAGATATTCAACAGGAAATCAATTAAAATTAGCCACTTCTGCACTGATAATATGTACCAAATTATTAACTCCCATAACAATTACATTTTAAGTAAATTCCATGAGAAAAAAAAAACTAAATCTAACATGGAAACCCCCTGTAATTGTAGAATTAAGGAAAACTCTCAGTAGAGGGCAAGTGCAGATCCACTAGGGCAGTATATCAGGCAACCATTACCCCTAAAGAAAATACGACAAACCATAATATTTACATCAGCATTTCTGCAGGAGAATTTATATAGAGAATCAATACACATAGACATTCATTCATCAATCCAAAATTAAAACACCAAATGGCCCTTTCGAAAAGATTTTGGAAATTGAAAAAAAAAGAGCCTGAATCTTCAAATAAATTGGAAAATTCTAGGTTTTGCGAACACGCCCAATAGTTTTAGGGATAGGGGCAAGCTTTGTTTAGAAGAAAAAAATCAGGATAATAAAATATAAAGATCAATGTAAACTATTAAATGAATGGACAGAACTAATCATGAAATATAGACATAGAAATAAATTCCAAATTACATAAGAATACATGTACATATATGTGGGGGTGTATGTGTACGTATAGTGGCATATATGTATGGACATGTAAATGTACATATATGTATGCATGAAGATATGTACGCATATAAGTGTGTTGGACAGCATAATTTATTCTATTGGGTGCTCTGGTAATACCCACAATTTATAACTCAACTAATTTACATTAATCTTAAGAGGCTTAAGTTTAAATCCCCATCACTTATTAATAATATTAGACACCTGTAGTACAAAAACTATTTACTGTGAATTGCAGAAAAACACACTTGGGGCTTTTATAAGAAACACCACATAGTAGGAACTGATATTAAACTACAAACAACAAATCCTGGCCATACATAAACTCCAACCCCAGACCACTTCCCCCCCGGGATAAGATACCTTATGCCCCCACCAATTGCTAACACAAACCCATTCTCATTAACAAGGAGTCTATCAGGAGGACTAGCATTGAAAATAAATTTAAAACAATGCCCTGAGACAGACACTTAGTGGTTGATGATAGCCATGTACAGAACGATTTGAAATAGACTATATTATGTTGAGGTAATTTTTGTTTTTTTGCTGTAAAAAATACTGTGACGTAGGCACCATTTCATTAACCACATAGGTGTAAGGCTAAAAAGCACCCCAAAGTAAAATCTCAAATTCTAGTCGAAAATTAGTTAGATATAAAAGGAAAATAAATAAATAAATAAAAATAGAAATTTAATCCAATGCTTTCAACTTGCGAGTGAATATGTTCTATGATCAGCCATACCCTCCTCTTCTCTTCACAAATTCTTTTCCTCTTTACCTACTCTTTCACCCACAAGCCAAGGGCCCATGAACTTTGAAGTGACCTGACGCGAGAATGACCTGGTTCCAAAGTTTCACAGCTATCAGGCGTTTGACCATAAGTGAATTCCAAGCACCATCAGGATCTCCTGCTGCGATTCACATGATCAGAACATACTAAGCGTGGATTAAACTTTTGACCATCACACAAACACTGTGTGATTTGCGCCCCATCCTCCTGCGTACCCGGTCAAGGACGAAGAGAAACCACGTGACTGTCTTTGGGGACAACAAAAATCTAGAGAAGGATTTTGAGTTTCCCTCTGACCAGCAGCAGTTGAACGTCACTGGGCAAAATCGTCCCGATTCCAAATGGACAGCCCACTGAGATGAAGAAGACAGCAAAGTCTGTCGACTAGGGATGAAAGGACAGCTATGAAACTGAAGCAACCCAACGAAACGCCTGTACGAAATGCTGTGGACATCGAACACTTGTGAAAGAAAAGGAATCCAGGAAAATTGCCGACTGATCAAAATATTGTTGTAGCATAAGAACTCTCGCTTCGGCGAATCAGAATTTTGTGTGAAAATATCAACTCGACTGACAGATAAGTTGATTCTCTTGGCTTGATCTTTTTTTATATATGTATGTATTCGCTCGTGCCTTCTGTTCTTTGTTAAATGAATGTTCTTTTTTTTTCTTTCTTTATTGGTCTATATATTTATAAATAAATGTTTTATTTTGAAATCCATCATCTTGTGTCTGTTCTTTGTTGATTCCCTTGTGTCGTTTCCATTTCTGAGTGAAGACCGAGAAAAGATCCCACATTTTCCTTTTTTTTTAAACCCGTGGTTCATCTATATGCTACAAGTTCATAACATATAAAATTGGGGGCTCGTCCGGGATTTATCAATGTACAATATTTAGTTGATAGGTAAGACTTTAATCATCCATATCTGAAAGTACTTTGTCATATTATTAAAGAACCTTATTAGTACTATTCGTTTTGTAAGGTGAGATATTAAATTGTCTAGATGCCAAGGTAGAGTATGGATCAAAAAAGTTAGGAAACACCAGCATGTATGTGCAAATTTATGTAATCAGCATTAAAAGAAAGAAAACACTTGCTTCTAGTGTTCTTAAAATAAGAAAAGATTTACATATTCATCCTGAACAAAACTGCCAATAAATTTATACAGATATATAAAAGTCTCACTTTAAGTACCAGTTTACTTCTGACAAACATTAATTTACATCATTTTCAAGGGAATGAAACCTAGACAAGTAAACTCTAGAAAAACTTTTATATTTAAAAAGTTTATCATGTACAGATATAGAATTAAAAAATAATTTGAGGATTTACTTTTAGTAAAAATACAAAAATAGGAAAAAAAAAGAAACGGTAAGTTCTTTCTTTGAAGAGAATACACAAAATGTTGAACAAAATCCACCAAGTAACATTATCATATTTGCAAATTAAAACAATTTAAATATACTATAAAACATTTATCTTGCATTTTTTATATACAAAAGACAAATTGAGCAAAATCAATTAATGAGTGGCTTTTACCAACGGTTATTCCAGAAAATTTACCTTGGTTAAATCATATACCATAAGATAAGCATGAAAACAATTTTCTCTATCAGCACGTGGTTCCGACATTATCACAGGCAAATACTGTATGTTATAATAAATACATCGAGACCTCTGTGTATCAGTTTTAATAACTAATATAACTAGGAACCTCCCGGATTATATACCAACAGATCAATTACTAGTACTATATATATATATATATATATATATATATATATATATATATATATATATATATATATATATATATATATATATATATATATATATATATATATAGTTATCCACCTATATATATATATATATATATATATATATAGTCATCCACAGACATATATATACATATATATATAGTCATCTACTCACACACACACACACACACACACACACATATATAGTCATCCACAGACAGGTATCCTCGAATATAAGCAGCTAGCTATTATTATTATATATAGATACTGTTACAAAAAAATAGATGAAACACTATATCAGTTTAATATTCATATTAAAATCAATGAAGATGAAGAT